TTCTATTCTAAATGACAGACTTGCTGGATAAAGGATTCTCGGCTGCATATTTTTTCTATTCAAACGTTGAAGATCTCCTGCCAATCCTTTCTGGCCTGCCAAGTTTCAAAAGAGAGATGATTCACGAGTCTTATAGGTCTCCCTTTATATGTTAGAGCACGTTTATCCCTTGCTGCTTTCAGAATTTTCTCTTTATCCTTGTATTTTGCCAGTTTCACTATGATATGTCGTGCAGAAGATCGATTCAAGTTCCGTCTGAAGGGAGTTCTCTGTGCCTCTTGGATTTCAATGCCTTTTTCCTTCCCCAGTTCAGGGAAGTGCTCAGCTATAATTTCTTCAAGTACCCCTTCAGCACCTTTCCCTCTCTCTTCCTCCTCTGGGATACCAATTATGCGTATATTATTTCTTTTTAGTGTATCACTTAGTTCTCTAATTTTCCCCTCATACTCCTGGATTTTTTTATCTCTCTTTTTCTCAGCTTCCTCTTTTTCCATAATTTTATCTTCTAGTTCCCCTATTCTCTCCTCTGCCTCTTCATTCTGAGCCTTGGTCGTTTCCATTTTATTTTGCAGCTCGTTTAAAGCGTTTTCAGCTCCTCATGACTATTCCTTAGTCCCTTGATCTCTGTAGCAATAGATCTCTGCTGTCCTCTAAACTTTTTTCAAGCCCAGCGATTAATTTTATGACTATTATTCTAAATTCACTTTCTGTTATATTATTTAAATCTTTTTTGATCAGTTCATTAGCTGTTGTTATTTTCTGGAGATTATTTTGAGGGGAATTCTTCCGTTTGGTCATTTTGGATAGTCCCTGGAGTGGTGAGGACCTGCTGGGCACTTCCCCTGTGCTGTGGTGTATAACTGGAGTTGGTGGGTGGGGCCGCATTCAGACCTGATGTCTGCCACCAGCCCACTGCTAGGGCCACAGTCAGACTGGTGTGTGCCTTCTCTTCCCCTCTCCTAGGGGCGGGATTCACTGTGTGGTGGTGTGGCCCGTCTGGGCTACTTGTACAGTGCCAGGCTTGTGCTGGGTATCTGGCGTATTAGCTGGGGCGGGTAGGCAAGGGGCATGGGGGCAGGAGGGGCAGTCTTAGATCGCTTCTCCTTAGGTGATCCACTTCAGGCGGGGCCCTGTGGTAGCGGAAGGGAGTCAGACCCGCTGCTGGAGGGGTCGCTCCACAGAAGCACAGCGTTGGGTGTTTGCCGGGAGCAAGCAAGTTCCCTGGCAGGAACTGGTTCCCTTTGGGATTTTGGCTGGGGGATGGGCGAGGGGGATGGCGCTGGCGAGTGCCTTTGTTTCCCAACAAACTGAGCTCTGTCCTCCGGGGGTTAAGCAACTCTCCCTCCCTTTGTCCTGCAGCCTTCCCACTTTCTGAGCAGACCTGTTAACATATAACCTCCCAGATGTTAAGTCCCGCTTGCTGTCGGAACACACTCCCTCTGGCCCCTCCGCTTTTGCAAGCCAGAAGTGGGGGCTCTGCTTGGCCGGCAGGCTGCCCCTCCTCCCCGGCTCCCTCCCGCCAGTCTGTGTATCGTGCACCACTTCTCCGCCCTTCCTACTCTCTTCCGTGGGCCTCTCGTCTGCGCTTGGCTCCGGAGACTCCGTTCTGCTAGTCTTCTGGTGGTTTTCTGGGTTTTTTAGGTAGGTGTAGGTGGAATCTAAGTGATCAGCAGGACGCGGGGTAAAGCCAGCGTCCTCCTACACTGCCATCTTCTGCCCTTTTCCTTGCCAAAATCGCATCAAGCCTGTTTCTAATCTCATTCATAGTATTCTTCATCTCTGATTCCATTTTAACTCTTCAATCTCTGCGGTAAAGGTCTAAACTGGTGTCTTCTTTTCTTTTCTAAAGCTCAGTGAGTATCCTTATGATTGCTGTTTTGCATTCTCCATCAGGCGTGTTACTTATATCTGTTTCACTTAGATATCTGGCTGTAGCTTTACCTTTTTCCTTCATTTGTGATAAATTCCTCCATCTTTGCATTGTCAAGGCCTCTGCCTTCTTCTCTGTGTTAGAAAAGCCAGTCATGTCTTCTGCTCCTGAAAGTAATGGCCTTATGAAGAGGTCATGTAGTGCCCAGGGCCTGACACTTCAGAGGGATATCTCTGGTGTGTGCTGCATGTGCTCTGTGTTCTGGCTGCTCTATCCTTTAGGCCAGTTGTCTGCAGAGGCTCTCCTTGCTTCCTGTGGTCAGTGTTTCCTCCCTGACCCTGAGTGTGGTGAGTTAACTAATCACTACATTGATATTTAATTTTCATTTATTTTTATAGTGTTTATTGTGTGCTTAGATTTGAAGGTATGGAGATGAGAATATGGTCGCTTTCTTCCAAGTTACCTTTATACATTTCAGAGAAAATAATATGTTTGTGATAGACACACATTTATATCTATCTACTCTATCTATATCATATATATATGAACATAGAGAAAATGATAAGACAAAAATACAGAATATAAACAATTGATGAATCTGGGTATAGGCTATATGAGAATTCCTTCTGGAAGTCCTTCAATTTCTCTGTAAATTTGAATTGAGAGAAAATTTTAAAAATATTAAATCCTATTACACAAAAAAATTTCTGCAATAACAAAAGCAACTACCAGTAATATAATAAGTAGGTGATTCTTGGAGAAAATTAAAATATCTAATAATAACAATATTAAAATATGCTTAGTTCTCATTAAATGTAAATAACCATAATTTAAAACATTTTTAGTATGCATTTATTTTTATTTTTTAATTATTTATTTTAAAAATTGCAGTAAAATCTACATAATATATAATTTACCCTTTAAACCATTTTTAAGTATATACTTCAGTGGCATTAAGTATATTCACACTGTGCTGCCATCACCACTATCCATCTTCAGAAATTTTTCATTTTATAAAACTGAAACTCTACCCATTAAAAAATAATTCTCCATTCCCATTTCCTCCAGCTCCTGGAAACCATCATTATACTCACTATCTCTATGTATTTGACCATGTTAAGATACTTCATGTAAGTGCAATCATACAGTGTTTGTCCTTTTGTGTTTGGTTTATTCCACTTAGTATAATTTCTTTCATATTCATCCATGTTATATGCTAAACCATGCTGTATCAGGTTTTCTTTCCTCTTTCAGGCTGAATAATATTCCATTGCACACATATGCCACATTTTTTTTTTAGTCCATTAACCACTGTTGGACGTTTGAAAGTCTTCTTTTACCTATCATGAATGATGCTGCTATAAACAAAGATCATTTCGTGTCCTTGCTTTCATTCTTTTGGGTATATATCTGGAATGGAATCATTGAATCATATGGTAATGCCATATTTAATATTTTGAGGAACCACCATACTGCTTTACATAGCAGTTACATCATTTCACATTTCCAACAGTAATGCATAAGAGTCCCTATTTCTCCACATCCTCACCAATATTTTTCTTTTTTCCTCTTTTTCCCTTCATAATAGCTACCTTTCTGGATGTAAAGTGATATCTCATTGTGGTTTTGATTTGCATTTCCTTGATGAATAGTGATATTTACCATATTTTCATGTGTCTATTGGCTATTTTATATCTTCTTGGGAGAAATGTCTATCAAAGTCCTCTGCTCACTGTTATATCAAATTTTTTGTTTTCATTGTTGAGCTTAAGAGTTCTCTGTATATTCTGGTTGTTAACTGCTATTCAGACATATGATTTGCAAATATTTTTCTCCCATTCTGTGGGTTTCCTTTTTACTTTATTAGCCTTGTCTTTTGATGAATAATTTTAAAATTGTGATAAAACCTGTCCATTTTTTCTTTGTTTGACTGTGCCTTTGGTGTCATACCCAAGAAGTTATTGTCAAATACAATGTCTTTACGATTTCACCCTACGTTTTCTTCCAAGAGTTTTATAGTTTAGCACTCAGTTTTAGGTCTTTGATCTATTTTAAGCTGTAAGGTAAGGCATAAGGTAGGGATCTAATTTCACTCTTTTGCATGTGGACATCCAGTTTCTTCAACACCATATGTTTTACAATTCTCCTTTTCCCATTAAATGGTCTTGGTCTCCTTGTCAAAGCCATTTGACCATAAATGTGATGGTTTATTTCTGGGTCCTCTATTCTATTGCCTTAGTTTGTATGTTTGTCTTTATGTCAGTACCATACTGTTTTGACTACTGTCGCTTTGTAGTGAGTTTCAAAATAATGAATTGTGTGTTCTCCAACTTTGTTTTTTTCAAGATCATTTTGACTGTTTAGGATCTCTAAAATTCCATATGAATTTTAGGATGGATTTTTCTATTTCCTTAAAAAAGATACATTGCTGGTATTTTTGATACGTATCACACTCAAACTGTAGATTACTTTACATAGTATTGATAGCTTAACAGTATTAAGTTTTCCAATGTATGAAAAGTCTAGGGCTGATTAACATACTGAGAAATAAGTCATTCATGAAATTGCTATCAGAATTATTAATTATTATTATTTGAAAAGTAATTTGGAAACATATATTAAAATAAAAAACATGTATATCTTTAATGTAATACATGTTTACATGCTCTCTTTTATAGAAATACAATCACCATAACATAGATAAATATGTACAGTGATATTTATTGTACCATTGCCTATAGTAGTAAAAAACCCGATTTGAGAAGAATCTAAATGTCATTTAGTAGAAGAATGGTTGAATAAAGTATAGCACATTCACATTATAGAATATCATGTAGCAACTTAAAGGTATGAGATATAAAAGAGATATATATTATCAGTTTATCTGGATTGGAAGCAAGAAGGATCTATACAAATGATTCTATTATGTATAGAACCAGCAAACTCATATATATATATGATATATATATATATCATATATATATATAGATTGTGTGTGTGTGTGTGTGTTTGTATGTCAAACACACGTTTGAAGAAAGGTTTAGAAAAATATACTTGGTTCATAACATTTGTTTTTCTGGAGAAGGGGGTCCATTGGTTTAAGGTGATTGGTAAATAAAAACAATGGAAACATAATACAAAGTTTTATTTCATTTGTCCTTGTAAAGCAGTGTTGTTTTTTTTTTTTTTTTACCTTCATAGATAGGTTTTTTAGTTGTAGACATCACAGCAAGCAGAGTATTTGTAAGTTCAACTTTTTTTTGTTTAAGATAGAATTTTTTGGATGCCCTAGAAGATGAAAATAATATTACTAAATTATCTTATAAATGATCTGATTTCAACTTTTAAAAATTTAAAATAAATCTTAATCCACTTCTAAAACACAGCTTCCTTAAATTTTAAAAATAATTTAAAGCAGCTTTCCTAACACAAATATTTTCTCTCTGGTTTTTCCTTGCTGGGTATTTGATCAAAACCAGGGCTCTTGGGTGGCTCAGTCAGTTAAGTGGCTAACTCTTGATTTCCAATCATGTCATGATCTCAAGGTTGGTAAGTTCAAGCCCCACTTCAGGCTTCACACTGGCAGTATGGAGCCTGCTTGAGATTCTCTCTCCCTTTCCCTCTGCCCCTACCCCACTCATGCTCTCTCTCTCTCAAAATAAATAAATAAATAAATACTTAAAAACAAAACAAAACAAAAAACAGTAAGAGTACAAATCAAGAAAAGAAATATTAGAAATATTGTATACAGAAATGCCAGAGGAAGAGGGGCACCTGGGTGGTTCAACTGGTTTAGCATCCAACTCGTGATTTCAGCTCAAGTCATGCTCTCACTGTCTGTGAGTCTGAACCCCGCATCAGACTCTGAGCTGAGAGTGTGGAGCCTGCTTGGGATTTTCTCTCTCTCTCTCTCTCTCTCTGCTCCTCCCCAACTCGCATGGATGCATGCACACTCTCTCTCTTTTAAAATAAATAAACTTTTTAAAAAATGCTAGAAGAGTTTTTTTCAGTATGACAGTAAAAAATACTTAAACAATTAAATTGATAAATTCTCATATGAAGTTTTTATCTCTATACAAAACAGTATATCTTTATTAAAAAGTTTTATATTACTACAGTGAAAGATCTAGTGTTAATGGAAACAGACGTTTACAAATACTGTTATTAAGATACATACTTTCAACAGTTAAAAACAAAACTATGTATAAGGAAATAGTATCAGGTTGCTCATTTCAAGAAAAATACACTAAAATAAACAGAATGTGGGGTATTTAGATGGTATTTTCTCAAAGTTAGTGGGAAAAATTTACTAAGTTAATGCATTGAGTTTCTACAATATATGTTGTACAAAGAAATAAAACATTTTTAATTTTTTAATTTCCTTAAGGCAGGTGTTTGCTCTAAAAATGTTTATCTGTTATTATTTTTAGATTAAAAGCCTTGATAGTTTGATAGAAAATAAAAACATTTATAATAGAATCATTTCTATTCTATCCATAAAAGAAGACTACTATTTTTTTTCTCTAATTATGGAATAGAAATTTAGATAGTGAATTATTCAGACTATTTGTTAGTTGCTATTCTCTTTCTCTTTCTTGTTTCTTTAGGCAATATAACTGCTTATAATTAATGCCTCTATCAAAGGGAAAGCTTTAGCTTAGGAGAGAAAACCCAAATTGTTGGTAAAGTAGGAGCTAATAAATGGAAAGCAGTATTGTAGGTTATATGAAGTAGCAGGTGAATCTAAAATAAATTACATTTGTCTAAAATGTACATATACTATAAAACTACTGATCTCATTGTCTGGCAGTTAAGAAGAGGAGAGCTTATCTGAATCTAAAAAGCATATTATAATTAATTTTTCTGAATTTACAGAATTCTTGTTTGGCTAATCATGCCTTACTTAATAGTCAAATTTATTTTATCTCTGAATTACATACCCATAGAATGGTAAAAAGTAGCCAATGGATAAATGTTGAGATAAAGATGCACAGTGAGAAAGAAAAACTGGCCAAAGTATTGGTAGTATGTATAATTACTTGGGACTTTAGAAAAATATAATAGACCAAATAAAAATAGTCTACATTTAAAAAAAAAAAACCTTTAAACTCAGTATCTATAGGAAATATACTAAGATGATGATTATATAATGCCTCTGGAGCAATAATAAGAAATGGCATCTATAAATTAATTCCTAGATATTGGCTGGGGAGATAGTAATGAAGGAAAAGGGAAAAGTAAAAATAATGTTTATTTTCCTTCCAATTTACCCTCATGTTGAGTTTCTCTGTTGCAGATCCTGCCTGGGGTTGGACAAAAGGAAAATGTATAAATATAAAAAGGAGGATTATAAGATGCATTTATCTCAGCCATCTGCAGAATCTATAATAGTGAGCAAGAAAAGAAGGTTGAAAAAAATGGAACTCCAATTTAGTGGTGACAGGGAAGGAAGAGATATATAAAAATGCATATATGTTAGATGAGCTTAATCAGTGTTTACTTTCACTTATGTTTTGCTAAGCTGGTTATATGACTAAGACTGGTACAATCTGGTTATTTCCATATAATTAATGCTTTACTAATTTAAAAAAATCACATTGTATACTAAGAATTAAAATTACCTGAAGGTTCTTTATTTAGTGAAGGAAACTGGATGGTTTTATAAATGGTTGACCCAGCCCTAGATGTTCTGTGATATGCTTTTGGAGGTTTATTCACATGGGGTGAAATGTACTCAGATCTTTCTAGAAATATTAGAAAATATATTAACAGATTACATTTGTAACTAATTTTGATACACTTGCCAATAAAATTGAAATAACTAAATTTTTGAGATGATTAATTAGTAAAGAAATATACATTAAGAAGGATAGTTTTATTTTTTTTTTTTATTTTTTTTAACGTTTATTTATTTTTGAGACAGAGAGAGACAGAGCATGAACGGGGGAGGGGCAGAGAGAGAGGGAGACACAGAACCGGAAGCAGGCTCCAGGCTCTGAGCCATCAGCCCAGAGCCCCACGCGGGGCTCGAACTCACGGTCCCTGAGACCGTGACCTGAGCTGAAGTCGGGCGCTCAACCGACTGAGCCACCCAGGCGCCCCAAGAAGGATAGTTTTAGAGATCAGAGCTAAGTTATAAAAAAAACAAGTCACAAAAAACCATCTATATAAATTCCATTTCTTTGAAATGGCCAGTGTAGGGAAATTTTATAGAGACAAAAATTAGATTGGTGGGTGATGACTTGGAGTATGAATATTTCTTTTCCACATAATGAAAATGTTCTAAAATTGAACATGGTAATGGAAGCACAACTCTGTGAATGTACTAAAAGCCATTGATTTACACACTGTACATGAGTGAAATGAATGGTATGTGGCTTATATATCAATAAAACTATTAAGTAGATCGACATCTGACTTTCTATCACAAACAATGGAGGACAGAACTCAGTGGAATGACATATTAAAAGTGCTACAAGGGGCGCCTGGGTGGCACGGGCCAAGCTGAGTATGGGCTCAGCTCATGATCTTACAATTTGCGGGTTTGAGCCTTGTGTCAGGCTCTGTGCTGACAGTTCAGAGGCTGGAGCCTGTTTCAGAATATGTGTCTCCCTCTCTGTCTGCCCCTTCCCTGCTTGTGCTCTGTCTCTCTCTTTCTGAAATAAATGTTAAAAAACAAGTACTGAAAACAAAAATTCACAACCAAGAATTTAATACCCAGCAAAATTATTATTCAAGATACAACGAAAACATTCCTAGATTAAAAAAAAAAACTAACAATATTTGTTATTATATTAGCAAAAATGTCTTAGAAGAAATGCTAAAGAGAATACTTCAGGCTGATACAAAATGACACTAGGTAGTAACTTCTCATTATATATAAAAATTGACTCAAAGTAAATTACATCCCTGAATGTTATAGTTATACTATAAATGTCTTAGAAAAATAGAAAATCTTGAGATTTTAATTAGACAATTTTTTTTTAATTTTTTTTCAACATTTTTTATTTATTTTTGGGACAGAGAGAGACAGAGCATGAACGGGGGAGGGGCAGAGAGAGAGGGAGACACAGCATCGGAAACAGGCTCCAGGCTCCGAGCCATCAGCCCAGAGCCTGACGCGGGGCTCGAACTCACGAACCGCGAGATCGTGACCTGGCTGAAGTCGGACGCTTAACCGACTGTGCCACCCAGGCGCCCCTAGACAATGTTTTTTAAATACAAGTTTAAAAGCATGATTCATAAAAGAAAATTTAATACATTGGGCCTCATAAAAATTTAAAACTTTTGACTGCCATTAAGAAAGTTAAGATGAGGGGGGTGCCTGGGTGGCTCAGTGGATTAAGGGTCTGACTTCAGCTCAGGTCATGATCTCATGGTTCTTGAGTTCAAGCTCCATATCAGGCTCTGTGCTGTCAGCTCAGAGCCTGGATCCTGCTTTGGATTCTGTGTCTCACCCTCTCTCTGCCCCTGCCCTGCTCATGCTCTGTCTCTCTCTATCAAAAATAAATAAAACCTTTTTTAAAAAGTTAAAATGAGAGATGTCTTGGTGGCTCAGTCGGTTGAGTGCCTGACTCTTGATTTTGGCCCAGGCCATGATCCCAGGGTTGTGGGATTGAGCCACACGTCAGGTTCTGTGCTGAGTATGGAGCCTGCTTAAGATTCTCTCTCTTTCCCTTTACACCTTTCCCCCATTCATGTTCTCTCTCTCTCTCAAAGTAATCACATATATATATATAATACATATACATGTATATATATATATACATGTATTACATGTATTACATATATATGTATATATATACATATACATGTGTATATGTATATATACATGTGTATACATGTGTGTGTGTATATATATATATACATATATATGTATATATATATATGTATTACATATATATATGTAATAAAGAAAGTTAAGACAAGCTGCAGACTAAAAGAAAATAATTTCATATTATGTATCAAGTAAAGAAGTTGCATCCAGAATATATAAAGAACTCTTAACATTTTAAGAACTTAAAAGATTAAACTTTACAAATGGGCAAAAATTAAAAAGTTTTAAAAGACATTTCACCAAAAACATATACAAATGGGTACTAAATACATGAAAAGATTCCCAAAATAATTTTTCAGGAAAATGTAAATGAAAACCACAATAAATGCCATTTCACATCCAACAGAATGTCTATAATCAAAAGGATGGACAATAGCCAAATGATGGAAAGACTATGAAGAAATAAATTCATTCATACCTTGCTTGTCTGTAGGTAAAATTGTACAGCCACTTTAGAAAAGTTTGACATTAAAAAATAGTTAAACATAAATTTACCATACAACATGGCAACTCTACTCCTAGATATCCACCTAAGAGAAATGAAAACTTACGTCTTCACAAAGACCAACATAGGAATATTGAGAGCAACATTCATTATAGCCAAAAAGTGAAATGAACCTAAATGTCCATCAGCCTAAGAATGGATAAAGAATATGTGCTACACTTCAGTGTACTTGGAGAACAATGCTACAGTATTTCATTTGTATCACTAGGAACCAAATTTAACTCAATTATTTGTTTAAGGCTTTGAAAATTAAGTATATGTTTCATCTCAATGTTTCTCTTAACCTTTCAAATATCTCTTTCAGAAATAATAATTAAAAGTTTGAGATACAGGGACGCCTGGGTGCCTCAGTCAGTTAAGCATCTGACTTTGGCTCAGGTCATGATCTCATGGTTCATGGGTTTGAGTCCTGCATTGGGCTCTGTGCTGACAGCCCAGAGCTTGGAGCCTGATAAGGATTCTGTGTCTCTATCTCTGCCCCTCCCCTGCTCATATACTGTCTCTCTTTGTCTCAAAAATAAACATAAAAAAATTTTTTTTAAAGTTTGAGATACAGAGGTGAGATGTAATAATCCTAATTTTACTTTTTCAAATTGTCATTAAAAGTGGCAATAAGGGGTGCCTGGGTGGCTCGGTCAGTTAAGCATCTGACTTCAGCTCAGGTCATGATCTCGCGGTCCGTGAGTTCGAGCCCCGCGTCAGGCTCTGTGCTGACAGCTCGGAGCCTGGAGCCTGTTTCAGATTCTGTGTCTCCCTCTCTCTGACCCTCCCCCGTTCATGCTCTGTCTCTCGCTGTCTCAAAAATAAATAAACGTTAAAAAAAATTAAAAATAAAATAAAATAAAATAAAAGTGGCAATAATGCTAAGGGAAAAAATGTGCTACAGCCATAGAAAGGAATACTATTCAGCAATAAAAATGATGCATGTTACTATACGGGTGAACTTCAAAATCATGCTCACTGAAAGAAGCTACATACAAAACACCATGTGTTCTTTGATTCCATTCCTATGAAATGTCCAGAAAAGGCAAATTCATAGGCACCAAAAGCAGATTAGTGGTTTGCCTGGGACAGGGAGTGAAAACTAACTTAACTATCATTAGGGATCCTGTGGGAATGGCAAAAATGTTCTAAAACTGAATTAAGATGGTGACTGCATACCTAGATAAATCTACTAAAATCCTTGACTCATACAATTAAGATGGGATAGATTTTCTGATATGCAATTTGTGCCTCATTCAAGTGGTTTTTTTTATATAGTTGCTAACCTGTACCTCTCTGAGAAACAAATTTACCAACTAGAGTACAGTATTTATGCAGTTGTTTGTGTCTTTAGCCTTACAGTATCCACTCAAAGCACTCTTTTCCAGTTCCTTTGAGCACTCATTTTTCTCTACTTCTCTCAGTAAGGTTATGTCATGCATTTATTGTTTTTTTCAAGCTTTATTGAGATATGTTTGACATATAATATAGCATAAGTTGAAGGTGTACAATGTGTTGGTTTGACACAGTTATCTATTGCAAAATGATTACTACCATAGCATTAGCTAATTCCTCTATTACATCACATAATTACCATATCTTTTTGTAGTGAAAACATTTAACACTTACTCTTCTAGCAACTTTCAAGCATAGAATACAGTATTGTTAACTATAATCATCAAGATGTGCTTTATTTATTTATTTACTTATTTATTTTATTTTATTTTATTTTATTTTATTTTATTTTATTTTATTGTTTAATTTACATCCAAGTTAGCATACAGTGCAACAATGATTTCAGGAGTAGATTCCTTGATGCCCCTTACCCATTTAGCCTATCCCTCCTCCCACAACCCCTCCAGCAACCCTCTGTTCTCTATATTTAAGAGTCTTTTATGTTTTGTCCCCCTACCTGTTTTTATATTACTTTTGCTTCCCTTCCTTTATGTTCATCTGTTTTGTACATGATGTGCATTAAATATCCAGAACTTATTCATCTTCTAACTTGGAAGTTTGTACTCTTTGACCAACATCTCCTCATTTCCCCAACATATAGCCTCTGGTAACCACCATTCTATTCTCTGTTTCCATGAGTTCAGCTTTTTTTTTTTTTAGATTCCACATATAAATGAGATCATATTGTATGTCTTTCTCTGTGTGACTTGTTTCACTTTAACATAATTCCTTCAAGGTCCATCCATGTTGCTGAAAATGGCAGGATTTCCTTTTTTATAGCTGAATAGTATTCCATTACAGATATTCAATTCTATTATGAACATTATATTTTATATACAAATAATATATAATTATATTGTTATATATAATTTATTTCCCATATATATTTATATAATAAAACCACTATTTTGAATTCTTTATATGGTAAATTTTAGATCTCTGTGTCTTTGGGTTTGGTAGTGGAA